CAGTGCCACTTCCAGTTTTCTAGTGGTTTATTGGAGACCAGAGTCTCACAGACTTTTCTGCCTGGGTTGGCTTTGAACCATGATCCTCAGAGCTCAGCCTCCTGAGTAGCTAGGATTACTGGCGTGAGCCACCAGCGCCCGGCCTCTGCAGACTATTTTTAAATGGTCCTTCTAAGTCATGTGGGATGTGAAGGCACAGCCTGAAGTTTAAATCTCAGTGAGCCACTAACGGTGGTACAAATGTGTCCTCTGCAACTCTTCAGATAACTTCTGGTGATTTTGCTCTCGGCCCTGTTTTACGAATAGCAAACCACATTTCCCACCCTAGGGAGAACTGACGCTTTTAGGCGTCAGTTGGCAAATGTTGGCAAGGGAGTCCTGCTACCTCTCCTGGACCCCAAAATCTCCACCAATCGCTCACATGGGATTAGGGACTTAAGTGAATCCACCTCTCAAATTCTTTTTTTTTTTTTGGGTCCAGTTGTGGGGCCTGAACTCTGGGCCTGGGCGCTGTCCCTCAGCTCTTCAGCTCAAGGCTAGTGCTCTACCACTTGAGCCACAGCACCACTTCCGGCTTTTTTCTTTTTGCTTATGTGGTGCTGAGGAATCGAACCCAGGGCCTCATGCATGCAAGGCAAGCACTCTACCACTGAGCCACCTTCCCAGCCCAGCCTCTCAAATTCTTTAATGGCTTGGTTCTACAATCCAAAGTCACAAGTAAAGTGTTCAATTGGGAGGCAGCTATGAGAAGGATCATGGCTTGAGGCCATCCTAGGCAAGACTCCATCTCTGTCAGTAGTCAGTGGGGCTGGGTGATGGGTGTGTGTCATCCTAGCTAGAAGGAAGCATGATTAGGAAGAATGTAGTCCAGGCCTCAAGTAAGGCCCAGTTTGAAAAAAAGAAAGGAAACAAAAAGTGCTGAGTATGTGGCTGGTGTGGTAGCGAGTTTGCCTAGCAAGTACAAGGCCCAGAGCTCAATCCCTAGTTTAAAAAAAAAAAGTGTTTACAGTAGTTCTCCCGTAAGTGAGGGTGCTATATCTGTTATCAACTCTGAATTACCTTTATCATAGATAAGACAATTCATATGCAAGTAGGTGATTACAGTGATACTGGCAAATCTTATCTGTAATTTGTTTAAAGACTGCCGGTCTTATAGTAGGGCTGCATTTTATCAGAGACTATAAACTATATGTTTTATAGATGTTTGCTTTGACCTCATAGTCTTACTTCTGGGAATTAGACTTGGGGAAACTGTCTGATCAGCACGCCCTCCCCCCCACGAAAGCAGCTAGCAAAAACTCCACTGTATATGGTTTATGTAATTAAATCAATTAATCAAAAATAGACTTAACCATAAAGAATAAGGTAAAGTATGAATGTTAGGATAAAATCTAATTATTAAAACAGGTAAAGACATGGCAAGTACTAATGATATTAGAGAATCACCATATCTATACGAACACTAATGCTCAAAAACTATATAGGAAAACGGCAAAAAAATGCAGCAGTGTTGCTCACTAGACACTCATGAAAGTGAACTACACAACTCGTGGGCAGAGACAGGAGGGACTAGAGAAGACACTGTATAAAAGTAAATGTACTCATTACCTGACTCAGGTAATTGTAATCCCTCTGTACAACACCTCTATAATAACAACCAAGTAAATTAATAATAAAAAACCCAAAATGCAACAACAACAAAACAAAAACAAAACTACATAAATCAGCAAATACTATCAGGAGGGAAACTTGGAAAATATGAGGCCTTTTGTTTGTCACTAATTGTGTACAGAGAACAGAACCTGTCTGGCAAGTGTGAAGTCCTGAGTTCAAACCCCAGAACCACAAAAAAGAACAAAAATTAGTACTTTAGTTAGGCATGAGAAACCATAGCTAGATCTGAACATACTAAATCTTTTATTTTTGTTTTTGTTGTTGTTGTTGTGGGGCTTGAACTCTGGGCCTGGGCACTGCCCCTCAGCTCTTCAGCTAGCCACAGTGCTACTTCTGGTTTTCTGGTGGTTAACTGGAGGTAAGAGCCTCATGGACTTTCCTGCCCGGGCTGGTTTTGAACCATGATCCCCAGATCTCAGCCTCCTCAGTAGCTAGGATTACAGGCATGAGCCACAGGCTCCTGGCTTAAAGCATTAAAAAAAAAAAAAGCCATCTAAACTAAAGGTACAGCTGCAGCTTAGGGACAGGGTATGTGCTCCGAGTGTGAAAAGATCTGGGTTCAATCCCTAGCACCAAAAAGGAAACAAAAAATGTTCCTGCCAGGTACTGGTAGCTCAGGCCTGTAAACCTAGCTACTCAGCAGGCTGAGATCTGAGGTTTGAGATTCAAAGCCAGCCCAGGCAGGAAAGTCCAGGAGACTCTTATCTCCAATTAATCAGCAAAAAGCCAGAGTAAAAATATGCCTCAAGTGGTAGAGTGCCAGCTTATCAAAAAAAGCTCAGGGATAGCATCCAGGCCCTGAGTTTAAGCACCAGGACCACCAACCACTACTACAAAGGAAAAAGAGGAAGAAATAAAGCAAGTAAGAAGTGAAGGGAAATAGACTGGAGAGGGGTGAGTTTTAATGCGGTGGAGAGACAAAGCAACATTCAGTGAGGAGCAAGCCCTGCTGATATATGCAAAAGGCTTTCCAAGGAGAGTAAAATCAGTGCAAAGGCCCTGAGGCCTGCACACAAGCGGGCCTGGGCCTGACCACGTAAGTACAGGAGAGGAATTTGGAGTAAAAGGGGAAACCAGGTTCTGAGAGCCTCCCAGCCCATGACTCACTCCAGAAGCAGAGTCTGTACTTCCACCAAGGTAAAAGCAGTTTTTGTTTAGGGAGTTGGCTATAAGGGTGGAGAAGAGAAGCTCAGTGGAGAGATATAACACATCAATCAGAGTAAAAAACAGGAAGGAGATAGAAACCTTCTCCAGAGCAAGGGAAGTTCAGAACCGGGGAAGCCCTTTAATACTGGGTTTGGGTTTACTGTACCATTATACTAGGTCTTGTGCTTCATTGGAAATAACCCACTTCCTTTCTGTCTCATAAACTAAAGACTAGCTCCTTTAAGGAATGGACTGGCAGACATGGTCATCAAATTTCAGTCCCTAGTGCCAGGTTTCTTAATCTAGGCACTAGGGATCACAAACCCTACCCCCCCCTACTCCCGACCCCCCGCCGCCCCCCTGGTTCTGGGGATTGAACTCAGGGCCTGGGCCCTCTCTCTGAGCTTTAGTGTGCAAGGCTAAGGCTTTACCACTTGAGTCACAGATTGGTAGAGTCTCACAGACTTTTCTGCCTGGGATGGCTTCAAACTGTGATCCTCAGCTCTCAGCCTCCTGAGCAGCTAAAATTGCAGGTGTGAGCCACTGACACCTGGGATGTTGATCCAGGTAACTCCCTGCTGTGTGGGACCAGCCCACGCATTGTGGGAAGTTTAACAGCTCCCCTGGCCCTTCTGCTCCCGGGCTGGGGGGGGGGCTCCCCAATGCGGTCACTCAGACAATCAAAAATGTCCTAGCTCTGAACACATGTGGCTGTGATGAGTCTGAATCCCTTGATGAGAACCAGGGCTGCAGTGTGAATGAGTAAAAACTCACTACCAGGAAGCCAGCACCATGGCTCACGCTTGTAAGCCTAGCTACTCAGGAGACTGAGATCTGACGATTGTAGTTTGAAGCCAGTTCCAGTAGAAATGTCTGTGAGACCCTTATCTCCAATTAACCACCAAAAAGCCATAAGTGAGGTATGACTTGAATGGTGAGCACCAGCCTTGACTGAAAAAGCTAAGGGACAGGGCTCAGACCCTGAGTTTAATCCCCAGAACGAGCATTATCTCAAAAAAAAAAAATTGCATGGGACTTTTTTTCTTTTTATGAGAGGGGTGGTGATGGTGATTGAAATAAGGACCTGCTGGGCATCGGTGGCTCACGCCTGTCATCCTAGCTACTCAGGAGGCTGAGATCTGAGAATCACGGTTCAAAGCCAGGCCAGGCAGGAAAGTCCATGAGACTCTTATCTCCAGTAAATCACCAGAAAGCCAGAAGTGGCTTGTGGCTCAAGTGGTAGAGTGCTCGCCTTGAGCTGAAGAGCTGAGGGACAGTGCCCAGAGTTCAAAGAAAGAAAGAAAGAGAGAGAGAGGGAGGGAGGGAGGGAGGAAGGAAGGAAGGAAGGAAGAAAGGAAGGAGAGACAGAGAGAAAGAGAGAGGGAGAGAAAGAAAGAGAGAGAAAGGAGGACCTGCTGCATAAAGAGACATTTCAGTACAAAGCATATGTCTATTGATCAGTTCACATTGCATATGCCAAGTCACTTTTCTTTTGGTTGGTCGAGGGGCTTGAACTCTGGGCCTGGGGCACTGTCACTCAACTCTTCAGCTCAAGGCTGGCACTCTACCACTTAAGCCACAGCACCACTTCTGGTTTTCTAATGGTTTATTGGAGATAAGAGTCTCAGGGACTTTCCTGTCTGGGCTGGCTTTGAACTGTGATCCTTAGATCTCAGCCTCCTGAGTACCAGGATTACAGGTGTGAACCACTGGCACCCGGCCCAAGTCACTTTTTTGTGTCTTAGATTCCTCCAGAAAGGTTCATCCTGTGGGGCCTGCAGTAGGTTTCAGTATCTGGGAAATACTTACTTATTTGTCAGTCATGGGGCTTGAACTCAGGGCCTAGGTGCTGTCCCTGAGCTTTTTCACTCAAGGTTAGCGCTCTATCACTTTGAGCCACAGCGCCACTCCCAGTTTTCTGGTGGTTAATTGGAGATAAGTGTCTCGTGGACTTTTCTTTCCTGGGCTGCCTTCAAATTGAGATCCTCAGATCTCAGTCTCCTGAGTGATTAGACTCCTGAGCCACCAGTGCCTGGCTGGAGACCTCGATTTATATGTAAAGATCAAGAAGCACTGTTCAATTCTGGGCCTGGGTCACTGGCTGGAGTCTCAAAGTGGGACCCACTACCTAACGAGCATCTGGACCGCGGTTCGGAAGCCAACAATACAATGGGGGTTACCGATTTCCTCTCCTGCTTCAGCTCCTGGACGTAGCGGGTCAGGTCCACAGTGATCTGGGATGTCATGTTCTCAGAGATGACCTCGTGTTGTCCAGCATAGTCGCTCATCTCGTTCAGGGTGGAAAGGAAGGCCTTGCATGCCGTGTACCTGCAGACATAGCACAGAGCACCACCAGTGAGGCCACGTCCCGCCTCCCACCTCCCAGGGCTCCACACCGGGAAACCTTAATTAATCTTGGGTTAACCAGTGCTGCCCCCAAGGGGGCCCTGATTCGAGATGGCTCAGAGTTAATCACAACAGAAACATTTTCCTTTCTGTGAAACTGAATCGCTCCAGGACTGCAAGTCAGCTTTGCTGCTACACAGGCCCTTCTACCTATAGGTGTGCTATGTGCACAGACACGGAGAATGCTAGAATCAAAGCCAAACGCAATGGGGCTGGGAAGGTGGCTCAGTGGTAGAGTGCTTGCTTTGCATGCATGAGGCCCTAGGTTCGATTCCTCAGCACCACATAAATAGGAGAGAAAAAAAAAAGCCAAATGCAACACTTCCAGGCTCTCCTGTGAAGATGACTTAATTGCTGACAGAGTTCCTGGGTGAGAGAGTAGTATGACAGGAACTCCCAATGCAAAACTCTGCAATGAGGCCAAGGCTGTGAGCTGTGAGCTGTGATCTTAGGACTGTTGTTCGAAGCCAGCCTAGGCAGGAAAGCCCCTGAGATGCTGATCTCCAATTAATCACCAAAAAGCTAGAAGTGGAACTCATGGCTCAAGTAATAGAATGCTAGCCTTGAACAAAAATGCTAAGGTACAGTGCCCAGGCCCTGAGTTCAAGCCCCAGGACCTGAACAAAACCAAAAATACCTTCTAGAATGTGTATTGCATACTTTCTGCATGCATGTGTCTAGGTCACATTCTAAAACTTTTTCCTGACTACTTTAACAGAAACAATCTGGAATCCATCTACTGGCTGAGTATAAGTTAACCAAATATGCTTTTATAGCTCTTCTCCCCTGATTTAGAAATAGGCATAAAGAGAAATAGGGGAATGCAAGTGAGAGAGAGAGAGAGAGAGAGAGAGAGTGTTGGCACAGGAACTTGAACTGAAGGCCTTAGGCTTGCCTACTCTACAAGTTTACTCGGCTGGCCCTCTACCACTTAAGCCATGTCTCTCCTCTGGCTTTTTGCTGATTATTATAGAGATGGAGTCTCTCTCTTGAACTGTTGCGCCTGGGCTGTCTTCAAACTCTGATCCTTGGATCTCAGCCTCCTGAGTAGCTAGGATTATAATCTCATGTTATAGAAAACCATTTCTGTCATCAGATACACATTTCTCCTGAACCCTCAGAATCACCCTCAAAGGTACAAGTTACATTATCACACATTTATCAATGATAAACATACTTGTATTCTTCCTCCTCCTTTGAGTTCTTTTTCGGTTGGTATTTCTTCGAAAGATTCCTAAAATAAAAATGCAGAGAGACCATTTTATTTAGAAAGATAACTGAGAAATCAAGAATGCAAGATGACATTAGTGCTGTGGTTTACAAGTTAAACACACACATACACACAAAACAACAACAATAACAGCAAAAATACACAACGAAGTGTCTGCAGCTGAAATCTGTTCGTTTCCCCCATTCTTTCCACAAGCAGTAAGGCGCTCTAGTCATGTTCTCCTGTCCTATCTCAAAGCTAGAGCAAAAGAGGGCAGAGACCATGTCCTAGGACCTGACCTCTGATTAAATCATCAGAGAACACAGACCACATGTAAATCAGCAGCTTTTATTTGTACCACTGACCAGAGAACTATTTTTCTTCCCAGGCCACCATTTCCTCATGGTCATCCATTGTCATTATTGTCCCAAATGCAAAGAAAACTGTATCCAAAGGTTAATGTTAAAAACCAAAGTGCCAGTTGGGCACCAGTGGCTTCTGCCTGTAATCCTTTACTCAGAAAGCCGACATCTGAGGATCAAGTTCAAAGCCAGCCTGGTCAGGAAAGTCAGTGAGACTCTTATCTCCAAGAAACTACCAAAAAACAAAAAACAACCAGAGTGGAGCTGTGGTTCAAGTTCTAGAGCCCTAACCTTGAAGGAAGAAGCTTGTGGAGAGCGCCCACGTTGAGTTCAAGCCCCAGGAGTGGCACACGTGTATGAACGTGCGTGCCAGAAGCACCCAAGGGCCTGTTTCTGAGGCTCTGTGGCTGCTCTTCTGAAGTGGTAGCAAGGACGGCCACGGGGAGTGCTCCCTAAACGTTCACGCTGAGCCATCCCAGTCCACCGGGACGGCTTGTAACCTCTCCGACAGAGTGAACTGACAGCCCTTGCTAAGCTCAGCTCAGCTACCGGCTAGGAATCCGCACTTTGGCACCCGTAAGTATGCACCAAAACTTAAGAGCTAAGTAAGCCTGGGAAAAAACCAACAAAAACAATCTCTTCATTCTGTGCTGTTTCTCATGGGTCCTGACCTTCGGCTGGAGTTAGTTCGTGTCACAGGAAGCTGAGTAAGGCGGGGGAGAGGGACTCCTCACCCTCCTCACCCTCCCCTTCTTCCTCTCCCTCCTCACCTCCTCACCCACTTCCTTCTTCCTTCCCTACTGCTATTCCTCTTCCACAGTGGGTACGCCGATGATGTCACACTTTCCTTTCACCACATTGTCCAACCCCCTCCCCCTCCTCCCCCCCCCCCCACCTCTACAGATTTGCCTAGAAAACTATATGGTGACACATTTGCCATTTAGATCAGGGCACATTTTACAGAACAAGTGAAAGGAGACGTTACTGCCTGAGACTTGCTAGGGAAAGAGGGGGCCACGTGCTCCACCAGCATGACGTCAGCCCCTTCCCTGTCTGTGTGGGAGCCTGTTCATCCAGTTCCTCAGCTGTAGGCCCGAGGGGGCTCGAGGAGGACACAATCTCTATTGTCCCTCTGCTTTCAAAATCCCAAGGGAAGATAGGACACCCATGAAGATGTCCACTCTATGCAAAAAATGAAGATGTTAGACATGGTAGCTTAGAAATTATCAGGCCAGTGGGGCACTGGTGGCTCACGCCTTGTAATCCTAGCTACTCAGCAGGGTGAGATCTGAGGATCGCAGTTGGAAGCCAGCTGGGGCAAGAAAGGCCATAAGGCTCTTAGCTCCAATAAACAACTCAGAAAAAGCCAGACGTGACACTATGGCTCAAGTGGTAAAGTGCTAGCCCTGAGTCCAAAGAAGCTCAGGAACAGAGTCCAGGCCGAACTCAAGCTCCAGGATTGGCAAAAAAGAAAAGAAAAAGAAATGATCAGTGGACAGAATAGTTTCCATGTGTCCTGTGAGCATGTGCAAATACACAAGCAACGGCCTTGTGGGTGCTGGCATCCAGATGCAAAGGAATGTACAGAACAGATGCAAGGTTTTCATAAAGTATGTGCCTTAGAGGAGAAAAGTAAAACAAAAACAAGTATGTTGATAAAAGTATCAGGGATAAAGGAGTATCTTCAAAGCAGAAGACAATGTAATTGGTAGATTCTTTCATGTGTGTGTTCTGGTCCTGGGACTTGAACTGAGAGCCTAGGACTGTCTTTTTAGCTTTTCACTCAAGGCTGGTGCTCTGCCACTTGAGCCACAGCTCCACTTCCAGCTTTTTGCTGGTTAATTGAAGATCAATCTCCTGAATTGACTACCTGGGCTGGTTTTAAACCCTAATCTTCAGATCTCAGCCTCTTAAGCAGCTTGCATGAGGTACAAGAGCCACCAGCTCATGGCTGATAAGATTCTTTCCTCAGTGTCTTTATTACATAAGAAATAATGGAGTTCTGGAAAAGCCCAGTGGCTATGTCTGAGGTATTTGAGTGTTTGGTTTTAAACACTAGCCGTTATTTGTGTTAATTATACCTTGCAAATTGAAAATACCACTTCTAAATTCACACCTCACCATAAAAAGGCTTTCAAAACTACTATTTGAAAGATTTATTTAAATCCACATTTCCTTGTAGCTTCTGTTCCTTACTTAGCAGTCATAAAAAAAATCATTTAAATGTTACATGGAGTTGAAGGAAACCCAGCTTAAACAGATGTAGGTAAATCAGGGACTCTGCCTGGCAGTACTGGGGACTGAGCTCAAGGACTCCTGCTCACTACTCGAACACTCCACCACTGTGCCGCAGCCCACTCTTTTTGCTTTCCATTTTTCTTTCAGATAGGGTCTTGTGCTTTTCCCCTAGGCAGGCTTTGGGCTCCAATTCTTCCTACCTCTCCTTCCTGAGCAGCTAAGATGACAGGGACATACCACCATGCCCCCAAACAGACCCTCTTTAGAGTTCCCTCTTACTACAAAGCTAAACAGGATTACAGGTCCGTCAGGAGTGATACTCTGTTAAGACCATTAAATTCTGATGAATGAGGCCAGTTGGATAATGCTTGGGTAGGGAACATTTAAGTGGTATTCTAAACAGCACTGATAAATAATTCACTGCATAAATATCAGCAGAAACTCAAAAGCTAAAGAGATCTGGAGATGAACTTCATATCTAAGAACTCTTCTCTTCATGACCACTACAAAGAAGACCAACTTCCTTCCCTCCTTCCTTCTCTCTCTCCTTTCTTTCTTTCTCTCTCTCTCTCTTCCTTCTTTCTTTTCTTTCTTTTTTTCTTTCTTGCCAGTTTCGGGGCTTAAACTCTGGGCCTGGGCACTGTCCCTGAGCTTCTTTTGCTCAAGGCTAGCACTCTACCACTTGAGCCACAGCGCCACTTCCAGCTTTTCCTGTGTATGTGGTACTGAGGAATCGAATGCAATGCTTCATGCATGGGAGGCAAGCATTCCACCACTAACCACATTCCCAGCCCAAAAGATCACTTTTCTATTCTGGTGCCTGGGGACAGGCTTCCTGGCTCTATTCATCTTAATATTTTCAAAATACTCAGGGAAATAAGACACACACACCACCACCACCACCACCACCACCACCACCACCATCATCATCATCATGATATTTTGGGGGATCTGAGAACCAGAGTGTGTTCTGTACTCAGCCTGCTCTTCAGGCAGACCAATAAGGGAGGAGGAAAGTATATATCCTTGAACAGGATGCAGGATCTAGACCTAGCTAGTCCTAAAGCTACCAGGAGGCTCTCAATAATGAGATACTTGGGCCTTGCTCTGGACCTTCTGTGGAGGGAAGGCTAGGTGGAAGCCCAGGGATATCTGGAGGGGGGGAGGGGAAGAGGGTTTCCTTATTTTTTCCCCCCAAAGCTCACTACAGACTTCTGGATAGAGATGGCATAATAAAGTTCAAGATGAAAGCAGTACTTCCCCAGCAACAAGAGGTATAAAACAAAAGCTAGGGTGACATTTTCATAACGGAAAAATTTTTATAGGCAAATGAAGTTTCCACACTCTGGAAAGGGGGGGTGGGGGGACAGAGAACTCTGGAGCAGCTGAGGGTGGGCACTGACCCCACCCTGGTGGCCACAGCAAGGAGAGGGAGCCGGTAAGGCTTAATCCAGTCAGCACCAGGCCGAGAGTGGGCAGACACTCAGGAAATCGGACAGGAAGGCAGATTCTGTGAAGTGGGCGGGGCAGGGCTCTCACTGGACTTCCGCTCTCCAGGCACCGCCCCAATCAGGGGTTATACAGGAGCTCAACACCTCTTCCTCTGCCGGGGTCAACCTGCAGCAGACCCTTCACAGCATAGCTGGGACCCAGCTGCCTCTCTGTCCCCCACACTTCCATATCTCCAAGGAACATGGACAATTCAATTTCAGCCTCAAAAGGAGCTCAGAGGGAAAGAAACGCCGGAGGAACCCAAGGAGGAAGGAAGCCAGAAAGGGACATGCGTCTACAAGCCTTCAGCACAAACAGGGACAGGAGTGTGCCCCAGAACTTTACACCCTTACCTCATTAGGACCCCTCAACAACCTCAGGGGCTAGGGTTATTCTCCACACGTTCCGATAAAAAGGATGAAGCACAGAGAGTAATTTGTCCCCCAATCATACTGCTAGTAAGTGTAAGAACCAGGATGACAAGCCAGGCATGGTAGCTCATGCCTATAATCACAGATATATGGGAGCAAAGGTCTGAAGGATGGAGCTAAAGACCAGCTAGGCTGAACTCAATCAGTAAATTGGGTGTTGTAGCATATAGGAGGCCAACAATAGGAGAATCTCAATCTGAGACTGGCCTCCAGGAAAACCGTGAGCCCCTAACTGAATAAAGCAAAAAAAAAGAAAAAGAAAAAAAGGAGGGGGTCTGGGGTGTAGTTTGAGTGGTAGAGTACCTGCCTAAGAAACTTAAGGACCTGGATTCAAATTCTAATATTTCCATTTAAGGGGAAAAAAACACTAGGATTCCATTCTAGGCATGGGACTTTAGCATCTGAACTCAGCCATATCACCAAACTGCCCAAATTAAAAAAATATAAGCAAGGTGAAAAGATCTGGCATGTAATACAGGAAAAAAGAAGGAAGGAAGGAAGG